CCCGGGGGGTGACCGCAGGTGACGGGTATGTTGCTGTCCGCTCTGTGCCGGGGGGCTCGGGGGGTGTCTGGCTGGCTGGCGGGGTGCGAGCTGCTGCTTGAGGAGGGGGCGGCGGAGGCGGCACTGGATGCGTCCAAGGAGGTGAGGAGGGGGCGGGGAGGGGTCAAGGAGGTCCTTGAGGTGGGACACGTTCGACGTCACTGGAGCGCTTCTTTGATTTCCCCCCACCTCCCACCTTCGGACTTCGGACGCCTCTCGGCAGTTCAGATTTGATTGCCTTGCTTTTTTGATTTCCCACTTCGCCTGCCTGTCTGTTTGTCTGTCTGCATGTCTGCCTGTATGTCTGTCTGTTTGTATGTCTATTTTCTCCCTCCCTCCCTCCTTCCTTCCCTCCCTCCCTCCCCTCTTCAGGGTCTCAAGTACGTGGCCCACAGGGACCTGGTGGGCAAGGAGAGGCTGGCGGGGGCGGCGCTGCTGCTCAGGCTGCTGGCGGGGCTGGCGCTGCTGCGACTGAGGAAGCTGGAAGAGGCGCAGGTGAGCAGGAAAACGTGGGGGGCCGGGGCGGGGGGAGAGGCGGAGGAAGGGGAGTCTCTTAGTCCTTTTTCTCGCACCAGCGAGCCATGCCGGGGCCGGGTTTATGGGTCCTCGCTTTGGTGTCCCTCACCCTCTCACTCACTTACCCACCCACTCACCAACCAACCACCCTCAGTCCTACCTACCCACATTCGCCCGCTCCCCTCCCTTCCCCCCTCCCTCTCCCCTTCCCTCCCCTCCCCTCGCCTCCAGTTGCTGCTGGAGGGTTTGGCTCACGGTGTGAGTGAGGGCCACGTGGCTTCTGGGGAGCTGGCGGGAATACCGCCTGTCAATATATGCCAGCAGGGGAAGAGGTGAGGGGGGCTGGAGTGGAAGGGAGGGATAAGGGAGATGGGGCATGGGGTGTGGTGGTGTATGGGTGCGGCGATATAAGTGGTGGTGATGTATGTCCCGCGAACACGAATACAAATTGGTATTCCGCTCCCGATTTTTATTTCCAAACCAGGCTCCTAGCCCACGTGGCTGTGGCCCGCGGTGATGTGGCGGGCGCCCGCCACCGGTACGAGGAGCTGGTTGGCGGTCAGTTGATGGGTCGCAGTGCGGCGCCCCTGGAGGCTTGGGTGCATGGAGAGCTGGGGATGATACTGCTGCGGCAGGGGCCCGCGGTAGTTGAGGTACGGCAAAGCAGGGGAGGTTTCGGGGCTGGATTGGGTGGGTTGGGTGTGTTGTAGGAAAGGGTTAGGGGGGCGTTGATGGACAGGTGGGCAGCGGTTTGTTCTCCCATAAACAGGGCCCCCTTAGGATCCATGCAAGGGAAGTAAGAATATCCCTGCCCTGCCCTGCCCCAATCTGCCCGCCAGGGTGCCCGTTTCCATCTACAATCTGCTCTGGCGGCGCTACAGCCAGCCCTGGACGCCGCCGCCGCCGCCGCCGCATCCCCTGCCGCCACCGCGCTGCTACAGCTCCAACAAGAGGCCGCCACTTACCAGCTGCATCTGGCTCTCGCACTGGGGATCAAGGGCGGAGGCCGTCTGCAGTCCGACGACGGTACGGATGCCGCTAGCGGTACCGGCAGCGGCGGCACGGACGCAGCGGCAGCGGCGGCGGCGGCGGCGGCTACAGCGGGCCCTTCCCTGGAGCCGTACCGTTCCGACTGTCGTGAGCTATTGCTGTCGGCGGCGGCGGTGCCGGGGCCGCTGCAGGCGGCGGCGTTCACATGGCTGGGGCACTGGTACGGCAGGGCTTCGGAGCCCAGTGACGAGCTCAAGGCCCGGCGATGCTACCAGCGCGCGCTGGCTCTAGATCCGACCCAGGTGCGCGGTGGGCGGGTGCGTGGGTGCGTGGGTGTGTTCGGTACCTTTTTGTTATTTTGGTGACATGGTGGTAATGAGGCGGGCTTCAGTAAGGGGGGGAGTTGAGGGGCGTGGGGTGGCCCGCTGCTGTCGCTGCTCTTACTGCTACTGCTACTGCTACTGCTACTGCTACTGCTACTGCTACTGCTATCATTATGGCGTTGGTTGTTGCTGTTACTGTTGATGCTACTGCTACAGCTACAGCTACTGCTACAGCTGGTTTTGTTAGGGTGGTACTAAACTTTTGGGGGCGCCAAAGGGACCCGAGCACTTGTTGGTGGGGGCCCCCTGGTCACTTCCCCCTTTTAGTGGCCGCGTGTGAATATGATGAAGAGTATGGTACAACTTCTACACCGGTACGGTGCGGTACGGTATGGTACGACAGGCTGAGGCGGGAGAGGCCCTCGTGGCGGCGCTCCATGCCGCTGGCCGCTCCGATACCGCCGTACAGCTGTGCGAGGAGATGAGAGCCCGAGCTCTCGCTGGCGGCGGCGGCGGCGGCACCGCGGCAGCGGCTGGCGGCGGCGGCGGCCTGTGCGGCCCCGCCTCGCTGTTCCTCGTCCACCCGAGGCTGCTGCCCGCTGTCGCTGCTGCTACATCTGCGACCGCTGCTGCTGCTGCTGCTGGCTCTGGCGGTGCTGGATGGGCCCTTCGTAGTTTGGCGCGGCTCCAGCGGGATGGTGGGTCCAACGAAGCGGCAGTGGCCAATTACCAGGTGGGTTCTCCGCTGTGTGGGCCCTATGTGTGGGCCCTATGTGTGGTCCCTATGTGTGTGCCCTATGTGTGTGCCCTATGTGGGGGCCCTATGTGGGGGCCCTATGTGGGGGCCCTATGTGTGGGCCCTATGTGTGGGCCCTATGTCCCTAAATGGATCCTTTGTAACTCCTTCCTTGCTTGGCTAGCTCTTGATGCCCCTCCCTCCCCCATTCGCAAGATTACGCAGATACCAGCACTGGTCAGTAAATATTTTCCTGATGCAGCATTTATATCTTCTCCCGGACTACCCGTCTATCTTTGGTATATCTGCTCCATTCGCCGGTGGTTCGTCTTACTCTCCCTCCCTCCAACACCCCGTTATGCGCCCCCTACTTCCCACGGTACCTGCCCGCGAGTAACTAACTCGTACCAACTACGACCTACCTACCTACCTGTCCTAACTACCAACCCCCCGGCGCTTTGGACTCAGCCGGCAGTTGTTGTTTTCCCATCTTGACTTGGCGTCATCTTGGTAATCTATTCGCGGCACTACGCGTCGCTCGGCCTCACCTCTCCCTCACTCCCCATCAAACCCCCATAACCAAAACCCCTTACCCCACCTCTCACTCCCCCACCCCACCGCAGGCGGCAATCCGGTTGGAGCCAGCCGACTCTGAGCTTTGGGAGGGGCTGGCGGCAGCCTACCAGGCTCTGGATCGCCACACGGCGGCGCTCAAGGTGGGCGGGGTGGAGGGGTTGCAGGAGGGCGGGGTGGAGGGGCTGGAGGCGTGGCTGGCGGGAGGAGGGGAAGTGGTGGAGGATGAATGGCTGGCGGAAGGGGGCGGCGGCGGCGGCGGCGGCGGCGAGGGGGCAGTGGGGGACGCGCAGGATGTGATGGCGGCGGCGACGGCGGCGTCAGAGGGTGGGAGGCGAGCTGGGACGGCGCTGGGGGGCCAGAGGGGATATGTCGCGGGTCAGGGTGAGGGTGAGGAAGGGGGGAACGAGAAAGGGGAGGGGCTGGAGGGTGGCAACGGTGGGAGAGGGGACGGCAAGCAGCCGCTGCCAGTGACCCGTGGGTCAGTGTCTGCCTTGGCAGGCGAGCCGTTTGCTCCGTCATCGTAACTGTTGGTTGATTGGTTGCTCCCTGGGAGAGGGCTAAACGTTTTGGGTAATGGGACGCCGCTCAGAACGACGGCTGATGATGTCAGCAGCCGTACAGACGGGGATGTGTCTGACGATTCTGCTGTTGCTGCTGCTACACCCGATTCTACTTTTTATGCATGTACATAATGCTCCGTCGTACAATATCACCAGGGCAATAATCGGCACACGCAAACATCCGTTCTGCGTATTCTTCTGGATTTTCATTACATCGTATGTCCGTACAATTCGTTGTACTGCCGGACAGTCTGAGGTACCGTACTCACATTCAAATATCCCAAATAATGTACGATAGCGCACCATTAGGCTCATCACTTCATGTCACGTCACTTCACTTCATACCACGCGACATCACTTCAATTATATTCCTTGTTGCGTGCTTTTTTTTACAATAAAGATATCTTAACGGCTGATATGCCTTCTGGCAGCCAGTGTAGAATACATTTTCCTTCCACCCGACGTGGCTCCCTGTCAAAAAGAAAGCTGCTGCTGAGCTGGCATGGAGACTGAAGATTGTGAAACTTTCATTCTCAAGCGCTCGGATAGTCCTGCTGTTGGGCATTTCGCGTTCGTTTTCGCTTTCTATTTTTTCCATTTTAGATTACTACTACCACTGCTACTACTACCGCCGCAATGTGTTTTTCCAGGTTGCAGGCGGAAGCTTCTTGTCATGTTGTTGTTGCTGCTGCTGTTGTTGTTTTCGTGGATTGAGGTATTTTTGTAAGGGCCATGTACGGTTCAAGGTGTACGGCAGCGTTAGGGAGCCGTGTCCGGCATTCTGCGGTTAAGGGAGGGGGATGCTCATGGGGGCCTTTTGGGGATTGCTGAGGACTGCTAGTTGTTGGCTTGGATAGTTGTGAATTGCAATGTCCCCGGTAGCAGTCCCTCTGTTTGCCGTGATGTAGGTAAGTCTTCGCTCCGAAGCCCTGAACCTCATGTTTGGTCGGGACGCCTCATGTGCAAGTGCAAGTGTATGTGTGCGCATGTGTGTTTTGCTGTCCTTTCGCCATCCCTCCTCCCTCTCCGTGCTCTCCCCTCCTCCTCCCCCCGCTCCCCCGCCTCCCCACGAGACCTCCACCGCCTCCTCGCATGTGCCGTACACCGCCGCCTGGGGAATCACCTCCCTTAAACACTGTCCGCGAGCCGTCAGGTACGGCAAGATGGGATGTCGTACTGAATGAAATCCAGGTCCACAACCCGCCGGTCGTTGGATGTTTTTGGCGTGGTGAGGGGATATATCCGATGGGAAGTGTTTCGGCGGGAAGGTTTACTTGGGGAATATGTTCGTACCCGTGTCTACGTACGGTCTGGCGTACGGTTGTACATATTCGTTGCTCTGCCTAGATTCGAGTCTGGAAAGGAGAGCAGAAGCAGCTGGAAAGCATGTAAGATGTGGGGCTGGAAGTTGAGCGCGCGTTGGCCACAATGCTGGAGTCGAGTCGAGTTGACAGTCTGGCGATGTCGTACAAAATGTCGAATACACTTTGGGCAGCGCACGCCACGTACACTCAGTCACCACACTCACATTTTTGCACACGGAGATTTATCTGACGGGTCTGTGTACAAGGCGATTTCGTTCAATTACTAAATGACGACTCTCCTCTCTATTGAAGACCTAGAGTATAGCTTAAAAGCCATTGTCTTTCCTTGTCTTGGATCAGTCCATTTGCTCTTAAGGGCCGTCTTTTGCCGCGGTCACGAATTTGTGCTTATCTAGATTTCTACGGTGGCACTTGAGCTAGGAGGAAAAATACTGTTATGTTAGTTATCTTTCACGTATGTATTTTGTCGCGAATACGGTGGCTTTATTTTTTTTGCGCAAAGTTTTTGTCTACAGTGTTTTAGGAAGGATCGTTCTTTAGTGCAGCTTCATGGCGTTCCTTCGTGGCGATGTATTTTCGTCATTTTGTGTTTAGTCGTTTGTTTTCTACTACCCAGGGCAACCCCCCGTCTGAGAATGCCCTGCTCATTCTTGCCGTACTCATGCCGTACGACTTGTTGTTCCCTTGTTCTTTTCTCCCTGCTTATGCCCCGCTTTCCTGCAATACAGTCGTACGGCCGTGCCCTGGAGCTGTCCCCCGGCCGCCTGTTCAGCCGCATGCAGGCGGCGGCGCTGCATTACCAAATGGGCGACATGCCGGCGGCGCTGTCGTACTACCGTAAAGCGCTGGCGGCGGCGCCAGGCAACGCCGCGGGTCTGCTCGGGTGCGGTGAGGTACTGCTGGCGCAGGCAGCGCTGGCGGCGCGGATGGGCGCCGCCGCGGCGGCGGCAGCTGAGTTGGCGGAGGCAGCGGAGCTGGCGGCGCGCGCGACGGCGCAGTACGGCAACCTACAGGTACGGTCTCGTGGTGGTGGTGAGGTCCTTTGACCTGGGGGCTAGATCATCGTTCTGTTGAAGCGGTGCCATCGTCCCGGAGCGGTAGCGTCCTGGCCGTCTTCTTGACACTGCCGCTCTTCAGGTCAGACCAAGTAGATCTGCCCCGCCAGCAGCTCGAAGACGGTACGGAAAGGACTCGGCGGAGAGGAGTTGTGTGATGCATCATCAAGCCAATGCACATTTCCGGATTTTTGTAGAGTTCGATTGCCTGATGGATTTCAGGCTGGCTGGAAGCTGCTGGGTGACGTCCGGATGCAGCACGCTGCTGTACCGACCCTGGAGAGCGTGGTCGCGACCCGTGGGTCAGCGACGGCACCGTCCGGCTGCGGCAGCGGCGGCGGCGCCGCTGCTGTCCAGGCTGGCCTGGCGGCGGCGCGGGACCGTCTGTCCCAGTTGCGGTTGGCGCGGCGGGCTTACGCTGCGGCAGTGCATTTGGACCCACGGGTCGCTGGGCTGTGGGGCGATTTGGGGATGTCGTACCATCTGCAGTTGGAGCTTGAAGGCCAGCACCCCGGCTTGGCAGCTGATGCCCAGGTAAAACATTAGTACAGTGCTAAAAAGTTCATTTGGCGGATTATGGTCAAGATTAATCTTATGGATGAGGGTTCCTAATATGTTGTTTTGCCATTGATATTGCAGCATGTTTGACAAATTTTCGCAATATTCATCCAATAATTAAGTTAGTTAATCCTTAATTAATTCTTAATAATTCTAAAGTTAATTAATCCCTAATTAATCCTTAAAGGAATTTTAAGTCCCTTCGCTCTTTCACATCACCCCGCTCTCAGCATCCCGTCGCCCCCCGTTGTCCGACTGCCATCTTACACCATTCTTCTCTCAGACGAGTGGACTGAGGGCCTCCTCGCACCGGGGCCCCCCCCGGGCTCTGGCTCTGGATCTGGCGCGAGGTGGTCTCCGGATCGATCCCACATCCGACTGGCTATGGAGCTGCTCCGGAACCATTGCTGCAGCCGCAGCCGCAGATTCGCCCGCCATGGCCGCCGTCGCCGAGTACTGCTACAGCCGCGCGCTACAGCTAAACCCGCGTCGTGCGCCAATGTGGGCGGCGCTGGGGCGGCTGTACGCGGCACATGGAGAGGGCGGCCTGGCAAGCAGGTACACGACTTCGCCCAGTATCGCATATATAAACATGCTTTAAACAATTATTTTGACATTTTTATATTATCATGGTTTTGTTATCGTCATCGCAGTTGTCCATGTCGTCTTCCGCCTCCTGCTTGTGGGTGTGGATGCACCTTTGACCAGGTTGTTCTCTTTTCATCATGCTATCCTTCTCACCCTCCTCTTTTTACTTCCTCTCACTTTCTTCCTCTTCTTACATCCCCCCTGCCAAATGATTTGCATCCGTCTGTTGCTCTCAGGTGCTTCGATGCAGCTCGGAGCCACGAGCCCACCTCCATTGCCGTCTGGGAAGCCATGGGCGATGCAGCACTGCGCAGAGCAGCAGCAACCGCAGGGGGAGGAGGAGGAGGGAGTCTGGCTGGCGGTGTCACCACGGCCGCGTGGCGCGACGCGGCAGACGCGTACGAGCATGCACAGCTGCTAGGTGGCGACGTGGAGTCGAGGCTGGGCTTCGTCCTAGGTGCGGGCACTGGGTGCGGGTAGCCCATTGGGTTTTTGCCGTACATAGGGCCCGAGGAGATGCCCGCGTTCCGTTCTCTATATATGTTGTCGGGCATCGATTCCCCTCTGGTACCCTTTGGGCGGCGACGACAATAATATGATATGTGTGGTTGAAGTTGCCGTACTTGTTGAGCTCTACAAATTGTCGTACTTGTTGAGCTCCTTGTTGTGTGAGAGGTTCGACCAAGGCCCTATTATTATCAAGGGGCCTAATGCGGTGGAAGGGCCCCACCGCTCAGAATTCTTGTTGATAAACTTGCGCAAAAAAGTTTTAGTGTGTAATTACAACGTGGATAAATACACATGTGTATAAAGCTACTTACGTCCTTCCGCAGGAAGCCTGGTTACCAGGGATAGGGGCAAGTACGGCGCCGCCGCCGCCGCCGCCGCCCCAGCAGCACCCGCCGCGGACAGCGGCACCGTACTTGCCGCCGCCACCAAAGCTGTCGCCGCGCATCCGCTGCTGGCGTCAGCACACTACTCCAGGGGACTGGCTTTGGAGGCGCGGGGCGACTATGCGTCTGCCGTACAGGTACGACACTTGCTACTTCTGTCTCGATGCTGCTCGCAAGTCTCGATAACCCGCGAAGGTATTTTACTGTTTACTAATTACTGTTAAACTAACCGCTGGCCGTCACAACCGTCACAACCGTCATAACCGCGACTGATAATTTACCGCCAGGCGCTCGAAACCGCGCTGGTACTTTTGGACGAGTGTAGTGGAGAGTCTCTCAATCAGCAGCAGCGGTCGGAGTCGTGTTCCGCCCCGTCAATCCTTCCCTTCGACCCACGGGTCGCTCCGACGGTCCGCGTAGCTGTCCAGCTAGACCTGGCGCGTGTGCTCGCAGCAGCTGGGAGCAGCAAAGAGGCCATCGCGTTGTACGACACGCTTCGTCAACAGGGCGCCGTACGGCCCGACGATTTCGGAGCTGCGCTGTCGTACGCTGCGGCACTGCAGCAGGTGTGCTGGGCTAGAGCTTCCCCGGGATGTCCTCCCACTTGGGGATCTGAGAAGATGTGTGCATGCAGCCGTTACGGTGTGAAGCGGCGGCGGGTTATTATGAGTTTATGACGCATTAGAAGATCCGGGAGGAGACGGGGGACCATACTGGGGGGAAGGTCGACTTTTTCAATGCATAGATTTAGAGCTCCCATTAGCCTGTAAATCGGTATGTCAGTATGTCAATAAGGGGGGAAATGCCATCATACACACTGGGATAGAAATACCCATGGGAGCCCCTCTTAACCTGGCCTCTTGCATCGGCCGTACTTCTCCGTCGTCGTACACGTCTTGTGCTGCTTCAGGCCGGTCGGTCATCGGAAGCACTGTCGCACCTGATCGCCGTACTTTCCAACGCCGCCGTGCCGCCGCAACTTCGCGTCGTCGCCGCTACCGCCGCCGTACGGATCCACATTGCGTCGCGGCGGTGGGACGAGGCGTACGGCATCGTCCTAACGGTATTGGCGGACCTGCCGGAGGAGGGCCCTGTCGTCGCCGCGGCCTCCACCGGCGGCGAAAGCGCAGCGGAAGCTGCCGCCAAGCTTTGGCGGGTCTTGTTAGCAGGTGAGGAAGGAGGCAACTGCCAAGCCTGGAAGCCAAAACTCGGTGCAGCACTCGCTCGGAGGTTGTAAATTGCGCCATATTTTTATCAGCTGCACATATTATAAGCTACTGCTCTTATTTTATTGTCACATCGGATGTTAAAGAAATGTAAATACGACATGGAAATGGAAACGTCCATGGCCCCCTCCCCGGCTTTTACGGACACACCCGCACTTGTGTGCGGAACTTGTAACTTGTAACTTGTTATGGAAATGGGAATGGCTATTTTTTCCTTTTTGACATATGTAAGGAAATCTTCGTCCAGTGCTTGGCTCGGGCCCTAACCAACATCATCATCATCTTTGACGTGTGTGTGTGTGTTTTGTTGTTGTACGACAGGATTGGTGACCGCGGGAGCCCCCGAGCTAGAGGCTCAGATGCTAACTGCGATGCGCCAGTGGACCTCGGGCCGAGGGGACCTGGATACGGCAAAGGTACGGCAGCTGTACAAGGCTTGGCATGTTCTCGCCGTGTGGCTCCTTTTGTGGTGGCACGATTCGGCACCGCCATTTTTCGTGCCACGAGCTTCACGAGCATCTGGTGCACCACTATTCGGAACCCACCCCAGCAGTTTTTTTAAAAGAGGGCGCCAATGATTTCGCAGATTTCCCCGTATTGGTGGATGGCTGTCTCCGACCCACTCCAGGGGGAGAGCCGTTTACGTTTCTCCCTGCTCTCCAGCTTGAGATTTTCCAGCTGCTTTGTGACCTGTGTGGGATTATTACCCGTCATTGTGTTTAGCTCAAGTGTTGAGCGCTGTTGAGCGCTTCATTGTAGCTCTTGCTGTACTAAAGCATCACCACAAATCGTACTGCGCCGTACTGTCCTGTCCTCCAATTTGTGCTTTTGTTGCATGCAGCACGAGTGCCGTGTCCATGAATTGCTGAGTGCCAAGCACCGAGCAGCCGGCGCCGCCACCGCCGCGCTTCGCCAGGCCGCTCGTGCCGTACGTGCTTGCCCGTACGACAGGGCTGCCTGGGCTTTACTATCGCATACTGCCGTACAAGCCTTTGGCCCGCGGCATGCTGTTCTCGCAGCGCGCGCGGCGCCGCGGGACAAGGCGCGGCACGCAGCGGCGGTGGCGGACGAGAACGAGGCGCCGAGCCTGACGGCGCCGCCGGGTGCAGCGCCGCTGACGCCGTCGGCGGCGGCAGCACACGCCGCAGGAGTAACAGCAGCGGCCGCCGCCGCCGCCGCCGCTGCCAAGGGCAGCGCCGGCGCGACTGGGACCATGTTGATGCCGGCGTTACGGGAGGCAGCGGCGCGGATGCGTCGTGTCGTACATGCTCAGCCGTACGAAACGTCGGCCTGGTATTTATGTGCGCTGACGGAGCTCCAGGTGGGCAGCGATACAGTGTGTACGGATATGGGGATTGTACGTCAAAGGCATGGCACGCACACGTCGCCGATGGGCGGCAGAAACGTCAAAACAAACCTTAAAACGCAGCAGGTGGTGGTAAAACGTGCGACGTGCTTTTGCCGCTCTTCTTGTTGCTTTCCTTTGCCTCTTTCCGTCCGTCCATACAACTTCCCCACCGCCATATGACAAACCGGAACTCCCACCTCTACGGCCGCCGCACAGCATGCCATTGCATCCGGAGGCCAGGTACGACTTTATCGCAGCGCCGCTGTGGCGGCGCGTGCCGCCGCCACCAAGGCCAAGACGGACCTTGCCGCGTTGCCGACGGAGCCGCCGCCGGCGACGGCGGCGGCTGCGCCGCCGCCGTCTCCGGGGCTACGGCCTCCGCCCGGACTTCCTCCCGTATTGGCGCTGGCGATGTCCGCACAAGCGGGTAGGGAAAAAGAATCGAGGGTTCTGGGTAGTACGGCAGAGCAGGCTGCGTGTACGGCACTACTGCTCGGGGATGTGTAGGTATGTTCTCGCTGTTTTCGACAACGATTACGGGTAAGGGGGTTTCTCAGGGTCAGGAGGGTCAGGAGGGTCAGGGGAACCCAGGGGTTAGGAGACTCAGGTTGCCGCTCTCATGCGCCGCAGCGGCCGTTGTCATTATCGGTTGATCTTTCTTTTCGCGTTTAAAACCCTTCAATTTCTATTGACTCCTTCCCCCCTTTCCCCTCCTCCCATCTCGGCCCTGATGCCCTCACACGATGATGACACGACGGGTACCTCGGATCCTCGGATGCGGTTCCTGGAACGCGCGCTGCACACACCAACATGATGGCGACGGCGGCGGCGGCGGTGGCGGTGGCGGTGGCGGCGGTGGTGGTGGTGATGCCGTACAGCGCGCGCGCATGCAGCGGATGTGGACCCACGGGTCGTTGCGCTCCGTGCCCAACGTGCCGCTCTTGCTGACGTGTGCGTGCGCTCACTGGCTGTGCTCAGTGAGTGCCGGCTGCAGCTGCAACTGCGGGGCCACGACGGCGGCGGCGGCGGCGGCGGCGGGGGCGGATGTGCCGCCGTACGGAGTGGCGCTCGTGAGGCTGCCGAGGAGGCGCTCCGGTGAGACTGGGGGAAGACCGGTGGCGATGGTCATGATGGCGGTGTTCTTGGTGTTGGTGCCAGTGAGTTTTTGTCGTTTAGGGCGGGTCTCAATTTATTCTAACCTAAGTAACAAAGTTGCTATTAGGGTTGTCGTAATTTTTATTACCTTGTAAGGCGCTGGGGGGCCCTTCGCCCGCCCAAACCCCCCCCCCATAAGTCACGACTCCCCTCGTCGACCCCAAGAGAGTCCCACACTGAGTTTGCGCGTTTTTTTCGTTCGTGTGTGCACTCTTCGTGCACATGCGTAGATAGGTATGGCACTGTTTACTGTGAGCAGTAAGTAAAATCGACCGAGCAAAGGCCCCAAGCAAGCAACCGCATAGCAAATCACAGGCCGTCACCCGCCGCGAGTCATTGCCTTGTGCGTGCTTGGCTATGTGAGGACCGGTAACACATGCTGCTTTATGCCGCGTTGACTCACGGGCGTGACCTTCTTGCGGCCCCTCGTATCTATCCTGTGATTGCAAATACTAACGGGCGGAGAGCCTTTGTGCGCGAGATCCTATTCAGGTTTGCAGTGCGCACAGAACATGCCGCCAAACACGCTAGCGTTATTACTTTAGTATAGCTGTAGTAGTTGTAGGTTTGCATGGTGTTTAGACAGAGGCCACCCTATCACTATCAGAGAGCAAAAACTTTGAGAATTCCTTCACAATGTTCCTTTTCCCCTCCACCATGTATTCCTTGTATCCCGTTTCGCTTCCTTCGCCCTCTCTCGCGCCACTCTCCGCCTCGCTTCCTCCTGTCCTTCGTCGCCGTCCTCCTTGCTTCCTCGTCCCCCTCCCCCTCCCCCGCATTCTTCTCCTTCTCCTCCTTCCTTTTCGCCGTCATCGTCGCTGCCTTCGCCCTTTTATTTTTCTTCTTCTTCCTCTCGTTCGGCTGGCTCATCTACCCACTGGCTGCTGCTGCTGCTGCTGGTTCGCAGCGTTGCGACCTCCCATGGTGATGGTGTCGACTCCTCACCCGCACACCGCCAGATGGCTCGACTGCACGTGGCCACGGTAGGGGTGTGCGTGTGTGCGCCTGTCTTTGTGTGTGTGTGTATATGTATGTATATATGGTCTGTTATGTTCGTAGTATGTAGTTAGTGCGGGTTTGGAAAAGAAATCATCTGGCCCTGCAGGCGGTCTGAATTGCATTTTTTGCGGTCTCCTTAATGTTGTTAATATCATCATTTGGGCTCCCCTGCGAGGACGAGGGGATAAGCACGCACGTGTACGGCACCCCTGTCGTTAATCCACGGTCATGTTCGTGTTTCAGGAATATCTCAGGAATCAGGAATCGAATTCGTTCGTTTATGATGTGGTTTTCTTGTCGGCTGCGGGACATGTACATACGTACATACAATCATGCAGGGTGACATGCAGCTGGCCAATGCAGCCTACGATCAAGCCTGTCGTGCTGCTGCTGCGGCTGCAGCTAGCAGCAGTAGCAGCCGCTGTAGCTCTGGAGCAGTCCCCAGCTATGAGCTACTGCCTGCCTTGGAATGGGCGGCGGTGCGGGCGGCGGCAGGCGATACGGCGGGAGCGGCGACTCAGCTTCTCTCAGCAGCACGCAGCGGCGGCGACGACGGCGCCGCCGCTGCTACTGCCGTACCGTCGCGTCCTGCCACTGCTCTGGCGGACGTGGCTTTTGTCCAGTGGATGCTGGTCATGTTGCAGCTTGGGGAGGTGGAGGCGGCGCGTGCGGCCGCTGCGGAGGCGGCAGCGGGGGGCCCGGCGGCGGTGTGGCGGCGGCAACCGTCGCCGGGTTTGCGCTCGGCAGCGTATGCCGTACAGGCCGCAGCGGCGCTGGTGCAGGCGGCGCTGGTGCAGGCGGCGACGGCGGCGGGGACGGAGGACACCACTACAGCATCTGCAGCCGTCCGAAAGAAGCATCTTCTGGAGGCACGGTACGTGCCCGATCATACAAGGTGTTCCAGCAAAATACTATTCCCTTCCTGTGACCTTTTTAAATAATATGAATCCGGGAATTTATTGTTATATGTATTTTTGCTAGTTTTATAAAAATATAGTATAAATGTTTATATATTTTTTTAAGTAGCTCAAGGGTCTGTAAGCGCGACGCGTAGCAAGGAAAAACTCATCTGATTCTGAAGCCGCAACATGGGAAAATCGGGGTAGTGGGTACACTAATAACATTACCGATGTCTGTGTGTGTGATTTTTTTTTGTGTGTGAGTGTGTGATTTTATTTTTGTGTGTGATTTTGTGTGTGTGTGTGTGTGTGTGTGCGCACACATGCCTTGTGCTGGCATACCTTGCGTCGTTCATATGTGTGTATTCAGAGGAGCAACATTTGTATGATGACAGTATTTCGGTCGGCAGTGGAGATTGTACGACAGTGTGACGATTTGAGTCAATGGGGAAAGGAAGAGTTCCCAGGGAGATTAAGGAGGGCTCCTGCCTGCGCGCCTGCTACAGTACGACTCCTGTCGTACAATGCATGCTTTGCGATAATGTGATATGGCCAGTTGGGTGATAATGGAATGACTCTTCTTGACTGAATGGTGCCGCGGACGCCTGATGGGTGCCAGGTGGGCTGCTCGGGAGGCACTCAAGCCGCTGAGCCTGGAGCGACCCGCGGGTCAGTTGGGTCACCGCAGAAGCGCACCGCCGCCAGGTCCGTCGGGACCCGCCGCGGCGCTGGCGGCGGCGCTACTTGGCTGGGCTGAATCTGGACTGGGCAAGGAGGAAGCTGCCCGTGAACTTCAGGCGCAGGTATGTGCCAGAGAGAGTGTGCGTGTGTCTGTGTGTGTATGTGTATGTGTATGTGTATGTGTATGATTATTACATATTGATCCGGGCCTGACACTGGCCAAGGGCACCTAACCGTATCCCAACGGGAACGTGTGCATGTGTGCACGTGTGCATGTGTGCACGTGTGCATGTGTGCATGTGTGTGTGCATGTGTATCAACACTGGGCATGTGTATCACGGGATTTCGACATCCGTCGATCGGTACTTTTCTGAAGTCGCGATACAACACTATATATATGTGTGTGTGGTGCTGCGGCGGCGGTGCTATTTGTGCTGCCGTTCGTATTCAGTAATTACCTGCTTTCCCCTTTTGATCTCAGGAACTTCTATTACTGGTACTACCCACATATTTTATGTTGTGTACGCAATTCGTAGGACGGATACGCAATTCGTAGGACGGGTATTGGTATGTCAATTGCAGCCAATCGGCATAGCGGTATACCCTGATGCTATTGGCTCTATTCAATTCGCAGGCGCGGAGGCTGTGGCCGGACCAGTCTGAGCAGCCTGTGGAAGTTCTTTTGGCGAGGGCGGCAACGGGGACAGCGACGGCGAATAAAGAGAGGAGTCCTTCTGCTGCTCCGTTCTCCTCGCATCCCTTCCTTGCCGATGGCGGCAGTGGCAGCGGCGGCAGTGACGGCGGCTCCCTAGCCACACGCGTTCATGTCCCGCTCTGCTTCACCGCCCCTGCGGCTGCGGTTCATTGCAGGCCATGGGCGTTTGTGGACGCGTGGGGCAGCATGGCGGCCGCAGCTCGGGCGCGGTGAACTGCAGTGGGGCGGTTGCCGTTTAGGAAGTAGGCGAATTGCAAGAGCGTGTAGAGGAACAGACGGGGCGGGAGGTGGGGACGCAGCGGCCTAGGCCAGTGTGCTCATAGCCTAGCTAAAAGGCAGACAACTTTCGGGAGCTGTGGGACGGGACCTGAAAAGCCCTGTCGCAGCTATATACCATTGCTTCACGGAAAGCCCGTTTTGCCGGGAGAGGTGATGACGGTGACTGGCCAAACAGACTTCATTGTTGGTGGTTTTGCCGGACCGGAGTCCACGCCTCCAGGACCAAAAGCGCATAACGGCCTGTACGTGCCTTTTACAACTGGTGCGATATTGGCCTGACTTGAGCGTGGCCTTTACATGCAGAGAAAATACTGCAGGCAGCCAGCCAGCCAGCCAGCCAGCGTGTCCCCTTTCCGGTGCAGCAAGTAGTATGGCCCGGCACTAGGCCTTTTTGTACCTCGAATCTCTTTCCCTTCCTAAGCTATTGAAGTTTATCCCGGTAACTAACTTTCGGTCGGTCGGTGAACCCCCGGCTATTGGGTCGTTATGTCGGATACCCTACCGGCCAGTTACCGAAGCGACCAGTTACCGACCGGTCTGGTAGGGTCTGGCGAAGCAAGGAACATCCGCATGATCTCTATAAAGGCACTTGACGACAAATGCAGAGGAGCAACAGCCTTCCCACCCATTGACCAACAACTTGTCGCCAGGCTTGCAGCGGCATACATAACAGCCAATTCTATGCAAGCCAACCTTCATGTTTCTAGTTGCTTTTTCCAGGATGCGAATTAACGAGCGAAGATGCAAGGTGGACAAGGTTCTCTTCTTTATAACCAAAAAGTGGAAAGTTTTACAAATGTTGAAGTCATTAAAACTACTTTTGGGCCGAGTCGTGTATGAACGAATACACGCAATCCTCGGGCTTTGTTGAAGATCGTTGAGATTTCGTTCAAATCGTTGGGGCAACGGTAACCCCTTAACTTGGGCAGCTCCGCCGAGTTCCGCACTGAAACAGCACTGGAAAACAAGGTTGCCATAACTATGTTTTAGATTAACCAGAAAGTCATCAGTGCATAACGCATAAACACAACACAAACGACTTGCGCATCTAAGTGGTGGGCATGTATCGCTTTCCTTGGTGGAATTGTCGTTTACAACCATAAACTTGCATACAAGCTTTGCTGAATAGTACCTAAGCACTGTTTGCGGCAAGCTCGGAATTTTTGCGAAAGCTGAACGAGTAGGTTTCGGGGCGGCTGGCGTAGGCGACGGAGTCAATTTTGCAAGCCTTCAGCAAGTTGTGTTACGATACCTGCATGGCCCTTCTGATGCTGGCACCTTTATACTATGAATAATGTAAACGGGATTTCTTGCTGACAAGGCCAGTCGACACAGATGTTTATTGATACGATACCCTGTTGAAGGATGTTTGAAGCGCAAGTGGCATACTATCTCAACAAGTACTTAGGGCAGTACCTACAAGGTTTAGATGCTGACTCTTTGCGCATTTCGGTTTGGCGCGGCGATGTGGAGCTTCGAAACTTGTCGTTGCGGCCAGAGGCTCTTCAGGATCTTGATCTGCCTGTTACGGTCAAGGCAGGCCTCCTTGGGCGGCTGACCCTCAAGGTCCGGCTGCCGGTCTTCCGTTCGCAGCTGTAAAGCCCTTACATGAGCTTGCGCCTGTCCCTGCCTCCTCATAGTTGCACAACGTTGGAGACGTTATCGTGCTTGTGCTAAGCCAAGATTCATCGCATCCTTACCCTTCTAAAAGTAATTGAGCATAGGAGTTGTCGTGCTCCTTGGGTCCATCCTTGGGGGAGCTGCAGAGTTTCAGCTAGTCGCCCACAACTCAGTTGACACGGAGCAACTCCTGTTTCCCAACGCATCCTCTCACAGCTAAAGATCTCTACCCATCTCCCCGTGTCGAGTGGCTCGAAAACCAAAATTTGTCGAATTTGCACAGTGCGGCTGGCTTGGCGCAATCCCCTCTAGTCATTCGATTCCAGGGACGAGAAAGTTTAGGGAGACAGCTATGGTCAAACTCCCTGCAAACCTGTCCTCTTCTGCGGCAGGTCCCCTGGACAGCGCTAGGCCGTGAGCCGGTGGTTGTGGAGTTTGACCGACTCTACATCCTGGCATGCCCCAAAGACCAGACCCCCGGACAGGCGACCCAGGTGGACCGGGAAGCCGGGACGGGCGGGTTCTTTGGTGGTGGAAAGAGACCGACCAGGAGGTTGCGTGCGTCTCAGCGTGCTGAGGACTGGAAACCGAATCGATACTTTTTTTGTGTATGTGTGCATTATATGCTTATGGATGTCGGGTGGAAGGACCTGTTAGGCTAGGGATGGTCGGCAGACTAGGCGAGATGCGGAGCGCCAGGGCTTGGAAGCTAAGCTAAGTAGTTTGTAGGTGACCCACAAGCCTGGAATCCCAGATCTGGGTCTGGAATTTTCTGCAATTTTGGATCTGGAATTTTGCATTTTGGACCCTAATCGATCCAATGATAAATCGGGACGTTGGCATTTGCGCAACAACTGAGTGCTTACTTGGGGCCAAGAGTGGAGAGCTGAAGCGGGGGCGGATGCAGCGAGAATGGAAATGTGGAAAGCTCGGCAGACATTCCAGATCGGGCTCCAAGTGTTGGTCTTTGTTAACAATAGGGTTTCAAGCAAGGACATGTGTATGAATGTGTGTATGTCGCGTATGCAGGAGTTATAGAAGTACGTAGGGTGGGAAGGGTGAATTAATGCGATGTCGGTGGGTAGCCGGCATGAATCATCCCTCACCTTTATCTAGTCCAACGTCCTACCCACCTCTCTCTGACCCACCTCTCTCTGACCCACCTACCATTCTAACGTTCAGGTGAATGTGTCCCAGTACGAGGCGGATGTGGCGGCGGGGGAGCTCGAGGCCAAGCGGAGGAGGGTGATGGAGGCGGAGACGCAGTGGCTGCAGGTGTGTGCGTGTGCGTGCGTGTGTGTGCGTGTGTGTGCGTGTGTGTCTGTGTGTGTGTGTCTGTGTGTGTCTCTCAGTTTATGTGGGGAGGAGGACGCGGTGGAGCGAGTGAGGTAGGGGCGCTGCTACCCTACCCCCTGCTGCTGCCGCCTCTGCCGCTGCTGCTGCTGCTGCTGCTGCTGCTCATATCCCTCCTCTGCTTCCATGAGATCATTTTCAAAAGACCGACCTATCCGATTACAGCGATCGATCCCTTGTATGTGTGTGTGTGTGTGTGTGCGGTGTATCACGTGTTTCACACACCAACCCCCGGTGACCCTGCACCCCGCAAACCTCAGCTCTGCTGTAAGGCGCGCTCCGACGGGGAGGCGTGTAGACACACACACCACACACGCGGGGTTTATCAGCTCGTTCTCCTGGTAAAGCTACGCTACGCTTTTGCCATCTCTCCCCACCCCTTCAGCCCCCCTTCTCACTCGCTTCTACGTCAACGTCTGGTACACTCTTGCCCTGGCAGCAGCTTCACTCGCTCGTGGTTCGCCTTTTCCCCCCGGTCAGCCAGTCAGCTCCTCTCCATGGCTCAGTTCCACATAACATCCACCACGGCTGCACGTACCCGCCACTTCTCATCTGCGCTCGCCCCCAGTCGCTCGGGTTATGTTCAGGTGTATTGTTTCTCTTTTCCTTAACCCCCCTTCCCCCACACGGCCCCCTCTCGACCCCCCACTACCCACGCTCAGGAGTTGCAAGCCAAGTTAATCCTTAAGGCACAACAGCAGCAGCAACAACAACAGCAGCAGCAGCAGGTATCGAGTGACGGCAAGGCTGGCGGCGACACCAAGGGCAAGAGCAAGAGCCGCGGCGGTGGAGGGTTGTTTCACCTCAATCTCACCGCCCTCATTCACACTATCTTAGGGAACCTGCAGCTGCGTCTCACCAACGTGCATATACGGTAGGTATAGCGCGGGTTATTGCGCTGCGTTTGGCCCCCTCGCCCCCTATGCCTGGAATGTCCTTCTATCCGTGGCAGCAGCTTCACTCGTCTGTGGTTCGTCTTTCCACCACCCCTTTTCCAACCCCCCCCACCCGCCCCTCTGGCCCTCCCTTGAGGGGCGTGCACTAGCTCTGCCACCTGTCCCCTTGGCTGCCTGTCGAGCGCGGGTTCAGTTGGCCGTAGGTAGTTAAGGGAGTTGTAAATCTTACCATGGTTTTGACCACATAACGATATAACGGTAACGGTAGCGGCCACACCTTTTGGCTCGAACTGGGTCACGAATCTGCCACCTGAAGGAGGTGCATTTGGGCGTTCCTTTAGCGGACAGTGCTTCATGTACGGTGTGTGTACGGTTATATCATTTCCTTCTCATCTGCTGCTTCGTTCATGTTCGAAATCATTTTCTGATACCACATAATTTTGGCTACTCCGCGTCATCGCTATCCATTAATCTTTCCCCACACACATACAAACATACACACACATGTACACTCTTATCTCCCCCACGCCTCCTCCCCACTCGCCATCCAGCTACGAGGACAGCTCCAGTCTTCCCGGTGGTCAGCGACTGGCGGGTGGCATCTTGCTGGGCGGCGTGTCCGCCCACACCGTGGACGAGACCGGCCGGGAGGCCTTCATCACCAACGACGTACTCAACCTGTTGAGGAAGGTAGGCCGGCGTGTATGGCGCTCGTGTAGGCCACCGGTGGTGGCCCAGGACACGTACCGGGCTAGCAGAGGTAGTGAACTGGAGATGTGTGAACACAGCTGCTGCCACCTTTCCTTCCAGGCCCCCGGCCGCTTTGGACAGTTTACTCTATAGTATCCTGGGGGCCATATCACCCGGGATCTGCAGCTGCATCCACCGATCGGTTTTTTTTTGAAAAGTCGTGAAAGATATAACGACTCTCCACTTTCTCGCATATGGTTCCCAGAGCCCCCGCCCACCCCCCCAGCCATTGTATCATCCCGAGGTCGCCGCCTTCAAGGACGCCTTTTACTAGTCAGTTCTGCTTCTTGTACACTCTTTCCATGGCAGCAGCTTCACTCGTTCACGTGGTTCGTCCTTTCTTCCCCCCACCCCCCCCACCCCGGGGTCCCCAAACAGGCGGTGGTTCTTCAGGAGCTGGGTGTATACTTCGATATGGGCTCGCCCTTCCTGGAGGCGCCCCGGGACTGGTCGGCCTTGATGGCCAGAGAGTGGGACCTGCTCTTCTCGCCAGCAAGACACGCACCCGGCAGTGGTGATGGTGGCAGTGGTGGTGATGGTGGCAATGGTGGTCCGCACTACCGCCACCACTACCTGTTGCTGCCCATCAGCGGGCAAATGAACTATGTGCGCAGGTACGCGAACGCATACGCCTCCACTATCTGTTACGGGTCATTAGGATTAGATATTACGTTCTGTTCTGTATGTGTGTGTGTGTTGGGGGGGAAGGGAGTGAAGGGAGCCGCTTGTTGTTTATCTTCTTCAGAGATCCCCCTGCCGCCAGGCTAGGATCATCCATGTCACCAGGACTTCGCCTAGGATGCCAACCAGGGTTCTTCTGGGCAGGTGGTTTGCGTGTGTGGAGCGTTCCTGGGTGGCGTGTTTCATACAGGCCAACTCCAATCCAACTCCCGTGCAAACTTGGTGATCCATGTCATCCCGTCCATCTTGCTTCCTACACTTTTCTATGTTTTCGCGATGTTTAAGTCATTTCGGTTTAGGGTACTCAATTTGTACTTAGGGTTGTTACGTACCTCGGGTTTTACTCAGCACAAACCTACTTTGCAATTTGTGGTGTTTTTTGTGTTGTCTTTTTGTGTTTACCCCTGGAGCAGGTCCGCAAAGGTTCTCCTGGCTGACACCAGCAGCGCTGGTGGCGGCGGCGGCGGCGGCAGCGGCGGCGGCGGCGGCGGCGGGCGACCCCCTAGGCAGGAGGGTCGGATCGCGCTGCGTGCGGTATCGCTGGCACTGAGCCGGGATCAGTACGTGGGCGCGCGGGCACTGCTGGAGACGCTGGACAGCTACACGGCAAATGCGCCGTACAGGGTCATGCGGCCCCAATGCAGGCCAGCGCCGGGTAAGGGGGGCGAGAGACACGCGAGGGAAAAGGGCGGCGGGGTAGGGGTAATTTGGACCACAGAAACCAGAACCATAGGGGTTTTGGAGATGAAATTGCAGTAATTTACGACTACAACCCAGGTACCCAACCCACCCTGGGTGCAGGTGCTGCCGCACGTGTCTGGTGGCGTTACGCGTTCCTTGCTGTACGGAAGCAGCTGCGGCTGCAACGCGGCGGCAGCTGCAGCTGGTCTCAGCTCCAGACCGCATGCCGGTTGCGGAAGAAGTACGTGCCGGCATATGCGAGGTGCCTCATGGCGGCGTCGGCGGCGTCGACAAGTACTGCAGCCAGCGGCCGGAGCGGCGGCGGCGGCGGCGGCGGGAGTTCTCGGTCGCCGGAGCGGCAGCCGCCGGCGTCGGCGATGGCGTCGGCAGGTGGCCTCGGCGGGGACGCAACGATTGCAGAAATGGACGCTCAACTTCCGGAGGGGACCATTCTACTGTTCAGGTGGGAAACACTGTCTGGAGGTTACGACGAACCACTGACGATTGAAGCAGATACCAGCGATAGCAGGAGGGAAGGGTAAAGTAGAGTGGCAGAGTGGTTAGCAGAGGTTATGGAAGATGACGAGACGACGCAGGTAGGTAGGTAGATAGGCGATGACTGGGAATGGTGCGATGTGAGCGGAGGGTAAAGCAACCTCATCTTCCAGCTCTCCTGTCCTCGATGCGACAGCGTTGTGTCCTCGTTGGGCGCCTGCACAGCCCTCACCCAGCGTTTCTTTGCTTTCCATCCGCTTCCTCGACTGCGCATGCACAGGCGTATGGCTCACGCCATGGCGCAGTCCCAAAGACCTGCGACAACAGGAGGAGGGGTGCAGGGTCAGCCCGCCGTGGCGGCTGGCGCAGCGGCACCAGCCGCCAGCACCAGCACCAGCAGCGGCGGCTGGGTGGGTTGGTTGATGGGCTCCAGGCGTACTGCCGCAGCTGCATCGGCGGCCACTGCGGTTGGGGGAGGCGGTAAGGGGGACGCCGCTGCCGCTGCCGCCGCCGCCGCCGCCGCCGCCGCCGCTCCAGCCGCCACTGTCACTGTCAGTGGCAGCACTGCCGTTTCGGCTTCCGCCGTTGGTACCGCAACGGCTGCGAGCCTCACTCCCGAGGAATGGGACCGCCTGCAACAGCTACTGCACCAGGTAGGCATCGAACCCTGTCTCCCACACTTTTGAATATGAGTCCTACCCACCCCGCTTCCCGAAGTCCGTTGGCCCCTCCACCCCGGACAAAGCCCCTCTTCCTCCCTTTCTATGTTTCGATGTCCGTACATTCGTGCATGCGTACTGGACACAGCGGCGATGTCCGGACCTGAAAGGTTCCTGGCAGGCGGCGTGTCCGCATGCCCCCTGCTACCCCCCCCCTGTTCCTGGTTAGTTCCCGGTTTCCTTTGTATCGTTGCTTAGCCCTGAAACCTACCATTCGACCTACCAGCTTGCCTACCTACCTAACTACCTACGTACCTAACTACCCACGTATCTAACTACCTAACTACCTATGAAACGATTGTACCAATAAAATGTGCAGCAGGAGGATGCTGACCAGGACGAGGAGGAGGAGGAGGAAGTGGAGCCGGGGGCGACCGGTGGCGGTGGCGGCGACCACCCGTACTGCCTGACGGCTTTGTTGGAGGTGGCGGTGGAGCGGTGCTCCCTGGAGCTGGGGATGTCGGCAGCGGACGGCGTGCAGCCGCTCATATCCGCATCTATGCAGGTGTTTTGTAGTCCATGTATGCATGCATGCGTGTGCTGGGGGGGGGGAGAAAGAGGAGAGAGTGTTCCCCGGCTTTGGGAATGTGCTCCTTACCTTTCCCATGGGGACCCAACGTGCAGTACTGCATTCTTTTTTCTCCGTAACGAAACCTCGTTTTTGGCTTTTTTTGGCATTTTTGCGCCTTCGTTCCGCTCATTTTGTGTTTCCTTCTTGGGCAGGCAGTTCCCGGTTTCTTAAATGTTTTGTAATGAAAAAGATGCAGTGAGGACGTATAAACCTGAGTGATTTAATTGTCACTATTTCAACTGGTGGATGAACGCACACGTGTGAACCAGGTAGCACGCTCTCTGCTCTTCTCTCCTAACCCCTGGTGTCAAAATCCTAAACTTGGTTCCATAGGCGGTGGGTCTTCGAGTGCTCCGCTACCCGCAAACGCTAGGCGTCAGTCTACGGGTCGGCTGGGCGGGTCTGGACTCGCCCCAGGGCATGCTGCTCTGCACCGGGCAACTCCAAAACAACTCCCCTCAACAAGAGCTCGCGTACGGTACGACCCTGCCAGCCATCAGCGGCGGCGGCAGCGGCAGTGGAGGAGGAGGCGGAGATAGCGGCCGGCCGCGGATGTCTGTCAAGGAGCTGAAGGGGGAGGGCAAGGGCGTCTCTGGCGGCAAGGGTGGTAGTGAATCACGGCCTGGCACGCCGTCCATGCCGGCGGCGGTGATTACCGGGTCATCTGTTGGTGGTGGTGATGCGGGCGGCGATGGTAGTGGTGATGACAGCTACCAGCCTACGTGCGCCTTTATGCTGGACTTCGTACGGCGGCCCCAGGTAGGCCGTACCCAGTACGGCAGGCGGGCCGTAGTCATGCCTTCAAGTCTAGACTTCGAGTTCGCCGTAGATGGGGACCAGCCATTTTTGCGCATTTATGTACTCGTATTAATTTTCCTGCATCTTCTTTGGTTTTTTCTGATGAGAAAAGGCCATATGTATATATCAGTAATTACGGGGCCTTAGGGTTTCGTTCCTTTCCTCGCTGCCGTCGCACCTCTTTGATCATCTACCGCGATCCCATCCCATGTTTTCCTACCCAACTAACCTAACGAATAACCAACCACCCAATCGACAACCGCCCCTGTTGCGCCACTTGCCTATGTGCCCTTACCCTGCAGGATGGCTCCGCAGATGCCACGTTGTCCGTACGACTGGCCCCCAGCTATGTGACGTACAACGCAGCGGCAGTGGCGGCGGTGGGTGCATTCTTCTCCAGCAGCCAACAGATTGGCCAGCTGGGCAATCTGCAGGTGCGTTTCGGTCCTTTACGCGCATGCGCATGTGTACAATCATCCATCACAGCCATCACACCCCATCACATACCCCGCGCCACGTCACGTCACGTCAGCCATGCCCATCCCCATCTGTGGGGGCACAGGCCGCGGCGGCCGTTGTCTTTCCAACCCCACTGCAACAATCTCCCTTACAGGCCCATGTATCGCACTTACATACATACATGTATACATCTTACTCGGAGGGGTTCATCCCCCGCCCGGCACTGCTATAGTACCTCAGACCCCAGCTCCGCCTTTCCCTGTCTCGGTCGGAATGGGGGGCCCCGTTACAGCCCTTCACCGACCTCCTCTTCTCTCCTCTGCCTCCCGTTCCTCCCCTTCCCTTCCCACCCTTTCGGACTTTGGACGCGTTCCGGCCGTTCATTTCTGATTACCCCGCATTTCTGATTCCCTCCCTCCCCCCACGTTCTTGGGACGCCGGCAGTTGGCTCTCTTGAAGAATAGCAATAGGACATCTTTTACTTCAAACGTGTAGAATAGCAGGACGTCCTTTACTGAAGGCGGTGGCAATTGCAGCTCAATCCTCTTTCCCTGACCTCCTCAATCCTCTCTTCTCCCGGTTGCTCCTTGCCTTTGTGCGCGCCAACCTTTCACCCAACGCACCCGCCCGCTCCTCCTCCCCCCCCCCCAGGCCCAGGCGGCGGCCCGGGTGCAGCGGCTCCAGCGGCTGGCCCAGGTCAGGTTGCGGGCGCTGTCCCGGGAGCGGCCCAAGATGGTGCTGAGGGTGGTCATGCACGCGCCCAAGGTCGCCCTGCCGGATGACAAGGTGGGTTTTGGCACGGGGGCCGGGCGGGTGGGTAGGGTAGGGTAGGGTTCTTATTATAAACAGGTACAAGGTAGTTAATTGCTGTCCAGGAAAACACGCAATGTAAAGGATTTAAAGGTTAAAACTTTTAGGTTTAAAGGTTTAGGGGTCTCAATTTGGGTCTTGCTCTTAATTGTTGCACTGTGCTGCTGTTGGTTTTCTCGTTGGTGGTCCGCTGACTTGGCTGCCCTCCTTTCATAGGGCCGCGGGACTCTGCTGCTAGATCTGGGCTGCTTTTCTCTTAGCTCGTCCACGCCGAAGGCTCAGGGCCTTGTGCCCAGCAGTGACGAGGCCTCCCTGTACGAATGCTTCAACTTCGGGATCCAACGTGTCGAGGCGGCGCTGGTAGGCGGACGGTTCGCCTGGCCCGCCACGAGCCCACAGCTGCCAGCGGCGCTGGAGGAGGTGGCGGGAGGGGCCGTCGCCGCCTCCGCCGCCGCAGCCTCCGCTGCCGCCGTTGCCGCCGCGACATTTGCGCTGCTGGGGCCGCTGCCAGCAGGCCCTGACGCCAGGGAGGATCGCCGCGGCGGTCGCGGCGCCGGCGGCGGCGGCGGTGGCGGGAGTACGGCGCCGTTGGGCCTGGCGTTTGTGGCTGCGCTAGCAAAGGAGGGGCCGGTGGCGGCAGATGAACTACCGCCTGAAGGCACTCACGACTCGGGCGAGCCCCCAGCGGCGGCGTCGTCGCGGTCGCCGGCAGCGGCCACGCCACCAGCGCCGGAGCTGTGCTACGAAAGCCACGATGACGATGACAGCGACGGCGGCAGCAGCCTTGTGGAGCTTGTACGGCATATCGCAGGGAAGGATGAGACGTCGTCGTCGCCACCCGTTGTGGTGACGCTGCTACCCAGATTTGGCGCGCAGGCGGAACTGCAGGTGGCGGCGGCTCAAGATCCACGGCTACCTGCCGTACGACTTCGCGTCGTGGCGTCGCCGCTGCGTGTGGAGTTCAGCCCCTGGCGTTATCATCGCCTCATGGCGGTCATAGGCAGCTTGACGGCCAGCGGCAGCCACGGCGGTGCGACGGCGGCGGCGGGGGCGGC